TTCCCACCTCCCCCAGGGTGAATATCGGTCGAGGATTCCTCAACGGCACGTCGAGGATTTTCGCCTGATCAGTTACGCTCTCCCGCGCGGACATTCACACTCGCCATGCGCGAGCCGTCTGTGCTCTCCGCGCGTACATTCACTCTCGCACAGGTACAGAGCCATGGTCGAGGAATTCCTCGACCGTTATTCACACCTGCCCACAAGAAAAAAAAGAATCTGCTGGAAGCTCCTCTGAATAATGTCTATCATCCTTCTGGGCGATAACGGAACCTGGAGGAAAAAAACGGAGGGTGCGCGGCAAGATTACAATAGTCGTAGAAGAGAGAGCATAGGGGAAGCGAGACGCAGACACTATGATAGTGCTTAGGTGCCGGTCCAAATTCTAAGTTCCTAGCGGCCTTTCATACGTTTTGAGTCGCAAAATCCGCTTTATCTCCGCGACAGCGGGCCCAAGAACCTTTGACGAAAGAGCTTGGTCCCCTGACGTGACCATGAAACTTCAGGTCAACTTCGAAAAATACAAAGTAAAGTCGGCAGATGCACCACGCAATGGAAGAAAACAGACAAACCGGTCACATTCTTCAACGTTAGGGCACTATAGAGACCTTCTTTGAAGACGTGCACACTTTCCTGTATGGGCCCTTTCATGACCATGAAGTATGGAGGTGGCCCTTTCGAGTAATACTAAATCAAAGTAATTAAAAAATCAATAGAAAAATTGCGATATGCTAGCACTTATTTCCTTTTCTATGATACGCCACGCACACAAACCCATTGGAGATCGTAGAGGTGTTTGAAAACGTTGCTGAACTTTAAGAAGGTAACCAATTTTTAACACTCACCAGTTCTATCGGTCACGCATGTGGTCATAACTATCAGCCCCGGGGAAAACAAAGAAATCGTAGAAATCGAATCGTATGGCCCTTATTTGAAAGTTGGACAGTACCCACGCATGGACTGTGAATGAAAATGGTGCCCCTAATCTATCACCACTACACTTGTCGTGAACCACCAAGGACTCATAGGTGCGCCAACGCCGTGGGGGTCACCGTAGCATTGAGCCCTACGATCAACGTGACAGTGCGGGAAATCTATCATCGGAAACGGCGGTGGCTTCCGTCACGGTCCTCCTCTATTCCTTTGGTTCTACACCCACTTTGAGCGGCTCATTTTATAAATTTTTTGCGCTGTAGTACCGCAGGGCTTCGGCCCTCAGAACTCTTAGCAACTGTAGTATTTTGAACAGTTCCCACGGCCACGAGCCCTGCCTCCATGGAGAACCATATTCTGTTGTTTCATTGTGATGTTTAAAATTGCATTAATTCACAAAAGATTGAAATCTCCGGTGATTCTTGGTAGCGCAAGGTTTGACCCTGGAGTATCGAACTATCCGAATTCTGAGTTTCTTTGTTATCTTTCGATGTAATCGAGTGTGATGTTGGACAAGGTGCCGGGAGCAGGTAGCTCAGTAGTGTAGGAATAACACTGCATCGAGTAGTTCAGTATTAAGTTTACCATGCCAAGAAGTGCTGGACTTGGTATCCTGCCCAAGAGAACCACCCAGATGCAACAACACTGCACGGCACTCAATTCAGAATATTTCGATTAATCGAGGCTTATAGGTGACAGGATGACAAAAATTAGTCACATTTCCATGTCCCACGTCCCCTGAAAGGTAGCGATTATGAGAGCTCAAGAAGGGTTTAGGGGAGACGTGGGAAATCCGTCAAGAAAACGCAAAACGGGACCCCTTTTTGGCCGTTGGTTTTCACTCATGAACAGGTAACAGCTCAGAAAGCGGACGTATGAACGAGTTCACCGCAACGCGTTTGGTGGCACCATGCCAAACCACGCTCCAATCGAGTTGCTCCAGTTGTGCCGCTGCTGGCAACGCAGCTCGTCCAAATCACCAACTAAACTAGTGGGCGGATCGCTTTGGGGCGGAGTGCTTTCGAAGTCCTGCTCAGCAACCAGCGCACCTTTCGTCGTGAAAGCGCCACACCTCGCTTCCTTGGCAGCCAAGTAACTGCTTCGTGTGGTGCATATGCTTCCCCGATGCGCTCCCTTTCTTAATCGCTTCCTCTACGCGGGTCCTGAACATGACACAAGGTTTTCTTTCTTTACTACAACGGAGGTGGCGCAGTGTAGAAATGGGGCCACTTACTACGCTCGTGGTTGAGGATCGAATCTTGGCTCCAATCTTCCCAGGCTAGACAAGCACTCCAGTCCTCCGAAGCCAGTTATGATCGGTAGGATAAAAACTGTCTTCTACTAGGCAGGCCCTCGCAAGCCACTATGTAGGCCAGATTGTATTCAAATACCACTACGATTCTGAATGGAAGTTAAATGCGTGGCGTATCTGGTAAATGGATGGATTAGTGTCAAAGCCTTCTCCTTTTATTCTTTTAGGCTTTTCAACGCGCTCAGCTGTATAGACTCATCATTCGATCAAAAAATGATATAGATCATAATAATGCTTGAAAAAGTAATTACTAAACTATTCAACAAAATAATAAACCAAAAAATAAGCCCACGTCATTCAACAATAACATACATCTGCATCTTGACTCTCGAAAATATTCATCTCATACGCTCCGCCAGTTGAATGATAAATGGGGAAAGCTGTACTAATATTTAATTTTTGATCTCCTCGTACCATGCTCTGAAACGGGAAAATTCTGGAAAATTATGCCAGCTTGAAAGTTCGAAACAGGGTCAACCGTCCGTTGGACAAAGTCCAACGCATGGACGACGTGTGAGAGTAATGCCGAGAGTGAACGTACGCACGGAGACACAGACGGCTCGCGGGTGGCGAGAGTGAATGCCGGCGCGGAGAGCGGTCAACATCGGTCCAACGTCGCTCCAATATCGGTCCAACGTAACGGTTGACCCTGGTTCGAAATCTGCGCGATCATTAACGAGACACTAACCTCCACCATTCCATTACCCCATTGTGTACCGTACTAATCTTTCCATTACTTATTTGAAAATTCCCAGCGGTCATTTGTGTAGCATTAAAAATTCTAAAAATACATTTTTATTACCAAAACCTATTCTAATTTAGGAGAGAATTGTGTTTCAGATGCTTCAACTTTCTCTGCGGATGCGTTGAAGGCATGCTTTGGGATGAAATAGGTGTGGAAGAGCGTTCTCATTTTAGCGCTTCACCTTGGAATGCAGACCGCGGACCGCGTTGTTTGAGACGATGTTTCACAAACCTTAGCTTCGGTTGCCCTCCGACCGCCACTGACAATTCGAACCGTAACGCGACCCGCTGCCGCGACTACGCGCGACTTCTTCAAGCAGCCGGCCAGTGATTATGGCAACAGACAGTAGAAGGCGGGGTTGCAGCGGAGGCCAGGGGACATGCAGCGGTCGTGCAAGCCTCTAGCGCTTTTGTCGCGCACTCTCTTAAAGCCCACAAAAGCGGGCCGACATCAACGCTAGTTCCGCATGTCTGACGAAGCGTGCGCATTTGAACACAGTAGCAGGCGTGGTGCCCAATCCTAAAGCGTGCTTTCAAAGGCAGTGTGCACGAGGAATCATGAAATTCTATCTTCGCCGAAAAATAGTACCCTAAGCCCGCCGCTGCTCAACAAGTCCAACAAAAATAACAAACAGACCTTATTTTGATGAAAAAGAATTCTTACTGGAAAACACTGACTATTTTAGGCGTTTGAGTCAATAAAAACCGAATTTGGTCATGCCTTCCGGTCGTCAATTTTAAAACTTTGTAATTTTCCACTTATAAGCCAAAGGTTTATGTCTCATTCTACAATATGCTCACCACTACTCACTGGTGGGTCCTCTAGCACCGGGGCAAAAAATATGTATGCATTCTTAACAGAATTGTGCATCTTGGACAAAAGGGACCTGATCAGAGGTTTATTGAGCTTTTGTCAATCATGGGCGCTTCCATTAGTTCTAGAAGTGTTGAGCAGGGGAGTGGACAAGTGGTTGACGATTTCTAGAAATCATGTGGATATAAAGGTGGGAACAACCAGCAAGCCAATTTTTGCATAGTCTTCTGATACAGTTTCCGAAATGAGGCCGGTAGTTGTCATCCAGCGGACCAATTCCACCTACAGGAAGCCGCAATATATTAACGATTTAATAAATTAAATATTAAAATAATGATTAAATATAATATCAAAATTTACTAATATAAATTATTAATGTTAGCCACATCCTTGGGTATATTGAAATAAATAAATAAATAAAATAAATAAATATCAGGATACCCACAACCAGTCAAGCAGTCAATGTCTGCGCTTGCGCGATAATGGTTTCATCATTCGAGTGTATATAGCGACTACATGAACGGCAAGCCAACCAACTGACACCCATGTTACAGAACGCCGGGATACCGACGATGGTTCCCCGGTCCGCCGCGACCCCACCACTCCGCGTGAAAACAGGTTAGAGACGCCACGACCCACAAGTGACAAGCGGCACGAGATCGCGAGCGGCTATGTAGTGCATTCACGTTATTTAATCTGGAAATTTTACGTACAGTACCCGGCACGAACACACGGCGGTTGCGACTCATCCGCAATGAAAGCCGCTGCTACACTGGTTGCTGAGCTGGGAAACGAAAAAACGGAGGTCGTCGTTGACTTTTTTCCCAATCACAAAAAAATGAGAAATAGTGGTGAGGATGGTGGTTGGCGAGGAGGGCTGTGGGCCGTGCTCAGATCCCTTGGTGAGAAAAAACCGACGCTGTGGAACAGATTGACGCAGAGGGGCTGTGAGTGATCAACACCCAGCTGTTTCTTGCCATTTTCGTACCTGTCCAGTTCTGTATCGTTTTCCTTGTTTGAATAGGCAATAGTAACAAACTGTGTAGAAGTTTGGTTAATATTGAAGAGAAGTCGGTAAGTCGATATACCAAGAGGTCGAAGGTGAACACGGAACACAAGCTGAAATTAATCTGGGCAAGATTTCATAGATACAAAACCATTGATCAATCCATCATCAAACTAACCCGAAATATCTCCCTATCGATTTTCTCCATCACGGATGTACGGCTCAATTTGTGCTTCAATCGATTGCCCATCGAATTCGACCTCGACCATCGCATTGTTTATTCGTACGCTGACAACGTCTTCCATAGGATATGGGAGAGTATTAACGACTTTCAGGGTCCTGGAAGGAGTGATTCAAGGGAGTGAAGAGAAATACTTGAGCATGATACCTACGTGACATTCTTCTTAGTGACATCCAGTACTTTCAGGGAAGTTGTTGCTTGACTTGACATACTGTATTCCACCTTAATTCGCACATCATTGACGACAAAAGGATGGAAGGATAAAGCATTTGCCGTTGATCAATCCCTTTTTGGGATGCGGCACGCATTCTACTTCCATTTGTACATTCGTAGTGGCGTTTGAATGCGATGTGGCCTATACAATGACTTGCGGGGCCAGCCGATGTACAAGTCAGTGTTTTTATCCTCCCAGACCAATTAACCGACCCCGGAGGGATGGAAGGCTTGGTTGGCCCGGGCGACTCACGACCCAGGATTTGATCCCCGGACCGCTCGCGTGGTAAGCGTGCCACTTGCCACTACACCACTTCCGCCCTTAATTGACCATAACGGTCCACAAAACAGAAAAAAAACTCATAATCCTACTTACTATAAAGCGCTTCGTCTGTCGTCTGTATGTCTGTCACGAAATTCCCTAGCTCCTGGGGATTCACCTGGAGAGACTGGAACAATCCAACGGTCATCACAGAATCGCATGACGTGTCCGGCCCACCTTATCTTCGATTCCTTGGCGAAAACGGCAGCGTCCCTGATCTTCGATCGTTGGCGTAGTTCCGAACTCCGGATTCCCCTCTGCACTTGCGTGTATAGGGTTACTCCTAGCATCGTCCTCTCGACAGCGCGTTGGATAACGCTGACCGCATGCTCGTCCTGCCTGCGCAGAGTCCAAGTCTCTGAGGCGTAGGTTAGGGCAGGAAGGACAGCGGAATCGAAGAGGTGGGCACGGAGCCGGATGTTCTTCGTCTTCTTCACTACTCCCTCGATGTTCTTATACGCTCCCCAAGCCGCTCGTTTCCTCCTGCTCAGCTCTGGAGCTAGATCGTTCATCATATTGATTTCCCGACCTAGGTACACGTAGCTGGAGCATTCGGTGATGTTCGTTCCGTTGAGCGTGAATGGGGCATCAGGAACCAATCCGTTTCTCATAAACATCGTCTTCGTTAGGTTCAGCTGTAGACCAACCTTACCACAGGCGCAGTCGAAATCAGCCAGCATTCGCTCCGCTTGCTCGATGTTCGGCGTTATAAGAACGATGTCGTCAGCAAAACGAAGGTGGTGTAGTTGCCGGCCGTCGACCTTCACTCCCATGTCTTCCCATTCCAGTTGACGCATGACGTTCTCGAGAGCGGCGCTGAAGAGTTTGGGCGAGATGGTGTCGCCCTGTCGAACCCCTCTCTTGACGTCGATGATGACCTCCTTGTAGAATGGTGAGATTCTGGTCGTAAAGTTGCTTATGTACTGAGTAGGAACGCCCTGGTTGCCCAAGGCTTCGATGACCGCTTCTGTCTCCACAGAGTCGAAGGCCTTCTTCAAGTCGATGAACGTGAGACAAAGCGGCATCTTGTACTCTCGTGAAACTTCAATGAGTCTTGTAACCGTGTGGATATGGTCGATCGTGCTGAACCCTCTTCGAAACCCTGCTTGCTCGCATGGCTGTCCTTCATCTAGTATTCTGCCGATCCTGTTAAGGATGACTCGAGTGAATAGCTTGTAGATTACAGACAGCAGGCAGATTGGGCGATAGTTGCCAATGTCGTCCAGGTCTCCCTTCTTGTACAGCAACACGGTCCTGCTGGTTTTCCACGGAGTGGGTACCTTGCATTCCGACAGGTAGCGCGTGAAGAGTCGAGCCAGAGTTTTGATGATAACTGGCGGTGCGTTCTTCAGATGTTCCGTTTGACCCTGTCGAGACCGGGTGCTGTACAATTCTTCACCGACTTGATGGCGTGTCGGACTTCGGAAGAGAGAACTGAGGGACGACGTATCCATCCTCTTGCGGTTGATAAGTAGGCAGATGGACATGGCTATCGAAGAGATCCGAGTAGAAGTCGTGGATGACTTTCTCCATTGCCCTTCGGGATGCAGTAACTGTTCCATCCGGACGTCGGAGGCAGGTCATCTTGGTCTTGTAGCTGGCAAAGCTTCGGCGGGCATTGCGGATGCTCCTCCCAGCCTCTGCTGCTTCAGCTAATATACTGCTGCTCTTCGCTCCTTGAGATCTTCCTTTATCGCCTCTCTGCATAGCTTCGCAAGCTCGATAACTTCGTGTAATGTATGCTATTGTGGTCTATGCTCGTTATGGAACTGTCCATCAGGTGACTCCCAAGTCCAACGAAGGTGAGAGGGCTTCTGGAACTGTGAGTTACCATGGATGGTGTTGGTCGACATGATAAACTCCGACAGTCTCTCACCCTGCTCATTCCATTCCATTCCGTGAGTACCGATGTGAAGTTCTTCAGCCGTTCTTCTTGGGCCAATCTTAGCGTTGAAGTCGCCGACGATGACCTTGAAGAAGGTATGATCTTCCTGTAGAACTTCTCCAATTCCATATAAAATGCTTCGTGTTCCTCCTCGTCGTAGCTGGATGTTGGTGCGTAGGCGACGAAGATTGTCAAAGCAGGAGTTGAACCACATCTTCTCAATCTCAAACGTCCGATTCGGGTCGTAAGGCTTTCGTACGAATCGATGTTTATGGCCAAGTGCGTGTTGACGAGGACACCCACACCCAACGCCTCTGCTGTCGCATGTTCCAAGGAACAGTTCTTCTCCAGTATCGAAAACGGCGTGTAGCGGGCGGTGCCTTCTCGTCTCGGTCAGTCCGATGACGTCGTACTTGATCTTCCTGGCCTGCATCATCAGATCTTCGATGTGAGCTTCGGATGCAAGCGTTCGTGCGTTGAAAGTACAGATCGCCATCTTAGTCCTTCTTCGTTTAGGCAGCCTATCCGGGCCCTGAGATTCTAGCAGCCTCTCCCGAGCGGTCCTACCCAACGCTGCCGTATTGGGGGCTCCCTCAGGTTCAGGGGAATGAGGCCCATCCATATTGCTGTTTTCGGCATATTTTCGGCATTGTTTTCGGCATAACGGTACGTCAATTGCGAAAAAAAGGCATTCATCGAGAACCCCAAAAGGGGATCACCTTCTGTGGCCATAGATTTTCGGTAGTAAAGGGATAGCTAGCGACTATGAGGTAAGAGTCGGTAGGATGAGTCTACTGCAACGTATTTGGTGGCATCATGCCAATCCATATATCTACATATTTATTACATGAGAGGGCGGAAGTGGTGTAGTGGCAAGTGGCACGCTTACCACGCGAGCGGTCCGGGGATCAAATCCTGGGTCGTGAGTCGCCCGGGCCAACCAAGCCTTCCATCCCTCCGGGGTCGGTTAATTGGTACCAGACTTGTCTGGGAGGATAAAAACACTGACTTGTACATCGGCTGGCCCCCGCAAGTCATTGTATAGGCCACATCGCATTCAAACGCCACTACAAATGGAAGTAGAATGCGTGCCGCATCCCAAAAGGGATTGATCAACGGCAAATGCTTTATCCTTTAGCTTTTATTACATGAGGAGAGACTTATGCAAGGACCTTAGTGTAGCCCACAAAGGAACAATTTTAAAAAAATCCTGCATAAGCTGCGACAAGGCCAAGATCCCAGGTTTGAAAAGGTAATAATCATGAAGGTAAATTGTGAAGAAAGTCGTCCAAATCAGTAACTACTAGTGGGTGGAACGCTATTGGGCAGAACGCTTTCCAAGTACTGCTCAGCAACCAGCGCACGTTCGTCGTGGAAGCGCCACACCTTGCTCCCTTATCAGCCAAGCTACTGCTTCGTGTGGCATGTAGGGAGGGGGAGGAGATATTTTTTCACCACATTCAAATGAACTCGACACACTCTGCTGAATTCAAACCGAATGCTCTCAACATAGAATTGAAGAGTGCATTCATTTTATTGAAAAAAATCATAGTGGCCTTCTACGTGGACGGCATCAGAAAAATTTGCCCCGGAAACATGGTGCACTGGTTGAGCTCAACGGGTCTCGACGGATCGTTACCATCACGATGCTTTCTGCGAAGCGGGTTTCAAGGGTTGAGAGCGTTGGCATAGTCATAACTGCTGTCTCACTATCCAACAGTGAGCCGATCAAAAAATTTTGTGTAAAGCTTCAGACTGGAGCAGCACGGTAGGTCTTCTTGAGCTCGACGACAATGGCAGATGACGTCATATTCTGAAGACGGTGAGGGCAGTGAAGGAGAGCCTGCGTCTACTTATAGAGGACATTTAAGGAATATTCTGCTGAGGAACTTCCGTCAATGACGGCAATCTTGGCGACAAAAAATCGTTGGAGTGCGACATAGGCAAAATTAATTTTTTTTCGCCGTCCCCCACCTGTTTACAGTACTTCCCATAACTCTGTTTAAAAAACCGCGGAAGACACAAATCCGCGCCTTTCGTCTTTTTGTTAGAACTTGATTACTTTTCACTCTTTTTCACGGAAACTTATACCGTTAGACTCAGCTCGTCGAGTTCTATAATCTGCCTCCTAAATTTCAGAAAATTTGATTTTTTAATTCCAAAGTGCCTAAGGCCACTCATTAGAGAGCGTCGCTCGCTATAATTATAACCAGAGGGGAACAGCTCCCATTAAAGTATTTCGCAAACTTCATGCTCCTTTTGAGAAATAGATCCAGAAAAAGAATAAGGTGAAACTGATGGCATTCAGGCGATGTCGATCATTTTGAAACCTATTTTTCCTTAATTAGCTCAATTCTGAAGTCGCATTTCTGAGGAATTGCTTTTTTTATTAGGCGGAAAATAACGAAAACGGACCGAAATATGACCCCAGCCGAATGGTATCTCTACTCTCCTCAGTCTGCTGATGGTAAACTTTTCATGTTTTTCTCTCGTGCCACCTCATTTCAGATTTTGTTTGCGAGCAATTTTCACATTTTTTTTAGGAAAACTCATAAAATTTATAGTGGGTTTCAAAATACTTCTATGGGAGCTGTTCCCTTTGATTAATAATTATAGCGAGCGACCACGCTCTACACTAAGATGCCCTAAGACACTTGGAAAAAAATAAATTTCTCGAAAGAAAAAGCCAGAGATCCGTAAGCCTCGCGATGAAGTGAGGTCTTAAGGCCGATGTCAGACTTTGCGAATCGCGCGATTCGCTAGCGTCTGCGGTCGCGTCGCGGCCAGTGAATCACTCAATTGGCTGGTACCGCAACGCGACCGCGGACGCTAGCGAATCGCGCGATTCGCAAAGTCTGACATCGGCCTAACGTGTAAATGCTTCAATGAGAAGAATTGTGACCAGAAACAAAGTAATAAGCGAACCAAGGCGAAAAATACGCGGATCCGCGTCTTCCGCGGCTTCTTCAGTAGGTACAGTACCTTTCATAACAAAGTTGTGGGAGGTACTGTACCTGCCCAATGCAATCCCTCTTTATACATAATCGCTTCCTTTACATCAAATTTTTTCGGAATGATGAAAAATGACTCGTTGTCACAATATTGTACACAAAATGGTACTAACCATTTCTTCCTTGTCATTACTCACTGCGCCAAGAGATGATTCAATCACTGAATTTGCCAGCAGAGTTGCATTATGTAATTGTTCAGAATAGTCCTTCATCACATGTTTTTTGCTAGTTCCTGAAAATTTACTTGCACCAGGTGAGAACGAAAGTTCTGAAGCATCCCATAGCTCAGTTTTGCAAGAGTTATTTTTTATTTATTTGTTCAACGATCCTTAACATATTACATAGACGCTAACAAGGGAGGTCTTTCAGGGCGTGCCAAGCTTTTTGAAAACGGTCTTTTGCATGATATAGGGGCACATGCGGGAACCACAGAACCATGGTTAATTTTTCCTGAACGGCCCTCTGAATACCAGAAAAGGGGGTCCCTAGTTCGATTCCTCGTGGTGACAAATTTTTGCATTTCGAGTTGACGTGGTTTCTAACGGTCCTGATTGTCAATATGACATTTATCATTACACGTGTGAGTGCTGACAAGCTATGGTACGTATACCATGAAAAGCTGAGTTGGAATGAAATGGTGCCCCGGTAGCGTAACTGGTAGCGCACTTGCCCGGAAAGCGAGAGGTGCGGGTTCTAGTCCCGCCTGGGGCGAAAGTTTTGTTCACAACCCAGCATTCTTGTGAAACATTCGCAAGGCGAACTGCGGCCAAAAACAGCAGTTAACAAACAAAAACAAGTCAAAATAAATTAATAGTTGAACACAATACTGATAATTACCAGTAATGGCATCGTGGTGCTGGAACAGAAGCAATGCCTTTCGAGCAGTATTCAGCATTGCCGTTGTATTCGGTGAGCGCTTATCCTTTGACACTTGAGCAGACAGCAGGTCAGCAGCTCGTAGTAACCACTGAATTACCATGTCTGGATATTGAGTCGTTTGATTTTTGGATTAAATCTTTAAACTAATCAGTCCAATGTCAAGAGTTGATAGTCGATCAAGCGACCTCTCCCCTTATCTTTTCTTATTCCGAAGTCTCAACGACGCGGCATTGCCCCTCCACAGTATATTAGATGTGATGATGCCAATCGTTTTGATTGGTACGAATTGGTTAGACAAATTCCGTTCAGTGTGACTAATATTATAATGAAAAAGTAGCAACTGCAGTGTGTAGCATGTCCGCTTTACGCCAAAAACTCGCCCCCCCCCCCTTCTCCCTTTGTTCATGTTTCCTTACCATTGATGATATCCCTTGCTAATCTCCGTAGAAGTGTTCAAATTTATGGAACAAAACTATGGAATAAACTCTTCTTACATGAAGACGTCTTTCTTGTGCCTTGTAGAACGGCCTAGTTGAATAATATCCAGACCATGAACCAGACGCATGTAACCTATAACAGCTTTTCTTACCGTCAGCTTGAGATTTGAAAACGGTCCACATTTTTCGTCAAAAAAACGAAGGAGCTAAGAGAATCACAGGATTTCCTGCGCGCCGTTGTGGAGTTTTTAATTCATGTCTTTAGCGGCTAATGTAAATTACCTAGAGCTTTGGACTAATATACCTCTCACAAGCTCACTCATGAATGCATTACCTAATATAGTAGCGATACCGATTACGCGAGTCCCGCACGCCGTCTGTATATGTCCTTTACTTCGGGGAAAGAAAATTATACAGGGGGGGCCAAAAAAAAGACATTTTGCCTATGTCGGACTTCGGCTCTTTTTTCTTCGCAGAGATTGCTGTCGTTGACGGGAGTTCCTCAGCAGAGTATTCCCTAAGTGTTCCTCTATTAGTGTACGCAGGCTCTCCTTCACTGCCCTCACCGTCTTCAGAATATGACGTCATCTGTCACCGTCGTCAGGCTCAAGGAGGTCTACCGTAAGAGCTTCAGCCTGAAGCTCTTACGCAATTTCGTGAATCGATTTAATGTTGGATAGTTTTCTAGAGGCATTAGCTACCACTGTGCAAATCCCCTCGGAACTAGCTTTCCAGTAAGGGTCGTTATGGTACACGATCCTTCGAAGACCCCATTGAGCTCGACCAGTGCACCATGTTTCCAGGGCAAATTCTTCTGATGCCGTCCACGTAGGTGGCCACCATGAAGATTTTCTTATAGAATGGAATGCGCTCTTTAATAATAAGTTGGAACCATTCGGTCTGAATTGAGTAAAATGTGCTTAAATCCATCTGGAAGTGGAGACAAAATGTCTTTTTTTTATTGGCCCCCCCTGTATACATTCTCCAGTGCAGTTCAGGCATAACATGTTGTTTGAGCAAAAACTGAAAGCATTTGTTAATTTTCAATATACAGAAGCACTCTGGTGGCAGTGCATTTGAACCGAGTAATACGCGTCTTTTTTGCTGAAAACGGGACTAGGTCTCAGACGGGGTGGGAGAGACTTAGGTACGCTTGCCATTTTCATTTTCGCCGGAACTCCTGCCCCAGCTAGGCTTGGTTCTGCAGGATGCCTCTCCTCCTATTGAGATACCCGCCAATTTACATTATGAGGCCGTGTTTTATTTCCTCGAAAATTGCAAACTTCATTTCTTATTGTTTCTTTTAAGGAATGTATTGATAAGTTTTAAAATCCCAAAAAAAATCTGACAATTTCCCCAAAAATCCACGTTCATTTCAACAGAAGTTTTGTATTCCCAAAGTCTACTAGAATATTTTCGACACTTTTATTACCGCAATGACAAAATATTACTTATCCTAATTGACTAAGCACGATGAGTGTTCTCATATTTATGCTTGTAGTTGAAGACCATGAGTGTCAAAGTTCGATTATAAAGCATATGGCAAGTGTTTTATGTGTTATGTATGTATTTCAACATGCTCAGACAAACAGTCCTTACGACCATGAGGTGGGACAACTTAAGGCAACACCCACAGATCGAATTTGTGGGGTCACAGCGGTGTGTATTGAAGTTGCGGATGCGATTAGAAAAGGACAATGAAGCAAAGAAAATCGTCGATGAAGCCCAAAACAAAATTACCCTTGAAATAGGAAGGGGCGGGCCGGACGAGTTGTACGAACTGCCTGCTCCACGGCTCAACTAACCCGCGCGTATTTGAACTACGCCGTAATCCACGTTGCGTGTCATGGGGTGTGCGCTACGTAACTCGTCCAAATGCTAAGATTAGTCGCCAAATGCTGACTTTGTAAGACCCCAGCGCCATTTTCGTGCACCTTCGAGCCGTCACAACGGCACCTCTACCTGGGTTACTCTGTCTCACAATATTCTTCGGCACGAGTTTTGCTCTGGTCAAGCGGTCGTAAGCCCTTTGCAGAAGGAGGTATGTGACTTTATGGGTAAAATAGTGTAATACACTTCACCGCACATCTACATATTCCGTATATAAGCTATCGGACCACTTTCTCTTTCAATAAAATCAATAGCTCACTCATATGGGAAAAAGTCTCCTTTGAGAGTAGTTGGTCGCGTTCCTCTTCCAGTATACCATTCCTCTAATACATCGAAGAATTTGGTGATAGTACCGAATCTGAACTGAACAATGAAATAATTAAATTCATGGGAAACAAACATCGAAACTTTTTCTGGAGCGATGGTTAAGGTACCGTCCTTGCAGTCGCAGAGCTTTTTATTTGTTAACACCTAAAAGCTCCTAAAAACGCGTAGCTCCTTTTTTCGAAGAAGAGCAATGAAAGTAATGGGTGAAATTGCTTGTGTCAAATCGTCACTATAATCATTTTTCGAGGTGAGACAGTAGAATAACTGATCGTTGAATGAATAGGCTCACTCGAAAGCACATTCCTAAAGTTTATTAAATCAGTCCCTATTCAAATCAATGAGTAGAATGCAGGGTCAACCGTCCGTTCGAACTGTTCGAACGAAGGGGTCGCATTTTGGTCGGAAGGGGGTCGCAATTTCGAGGACTGCCAGCCACAGGCGCGTGCGTGGCGTATCCGAGGGCAAGAATTGTTTGTGCAGACCGCATTAGATTCGATTTATTATGCACAGAGAGACAGTTTTAGGCAAATTACGGTGTTTTCCTTGAGGAATAAAGAACAGTTGAATGCATCCCTATGAAAGGTTTGACTTCTCGGGGCTGAAATTAAAGTTCTTCGGGACCTAATTTTCTGAGGACGATTCTTCCAGACAACGGTAAAACACATAAGAAAGCAGAAATCTCGTAGTCTTCAAAAATGTCTTCGCCCCTCCCCAACAAGTTCTTTGAAGGAAGTTATTATTGCTGAAAGCTCAAAAACTCGCATGTGCTGCTCAAAAACCTATGGGAACAAAATGTTCGAACGTGTGATTTTCTCGAAAAATGAATTTTGAAAAACGGTTTGGTGCTTGTCAGAAAGAGCAAATCCTGTACTTTCACCCCATGAAAAAAGTGCATCACAGAAATGAAAATGAAGTGAGTTATGCCCGCTTAAAGCTCAAAAACTCGCATGTGCTGCTCAAAAACCTATGGGAACAAAATGTTCGAACGTGTGATTTTTTTAAAAAGGGGTCAATCACTGAATTTTTCACACTGTTATGATAGAGAA